TATTAAACAATAACATAAGTAAATTAGTATATTATACATGCATTGTTTTTTTAGTAATTTTAAACTAGATATAGTCATTTAAAAACCTATTCCCGTCAAAAATTATGTTTTATTGCTTGGCTCGGTAGTATGTCTCTGTTTAGCATTCCCTTAGGTAGTGGGTAATCAGTAAGCTCAGACTCATTACACAATTAAGTTGTTCTAAGAGTGAATTTTTGTCAAGATTAGTTAATTTATTTCTAAATAACAACATTTAATTTTTTTGTATATTGCTTTAGTCATTCATTGTTTTCCTGGTTTGTTTATTTTTATTTTTTCAGGAGGAACACCTCCCAAAATCATGATAATAAAAATAAGAAATTCTTTATAATTATCTTGTGGTAGCGTTAAATTAAGCATATTAAAACAAAAGTGTAATCTGTATATATTATAGAAGTCGTAATTGTCCCTTACTATCTTGCCAAATTAGTTATTGTTACTCGGAAAATAAATCAGTTAATAATAACTAAAATTATATAGTATGTTGCATGACATAATAAACATCAAAATTCATATTATAATATTTAAAAATCATTAAAACATTAGATTAAGAATGAATTTGATTAAAATACAACAATATTAATTGCTCACCGCCGTATATAATGTAAATTTAATACTCTTTGGAGGATTAAATGATTAGTTTTTATAATATCCCATTAGTTATAAAATTTCTTAAACGGAATACCAGGCCCAGATATGACACTTACTTTACAAATAATAAAAATTGTTGGCAATAATATTTCGTATTTATGATGATGACGACAACCAAAAAACATATCTCGTTCTATTTTCCTTTCTAATAAAGAACATGCACCTTTAAATTTCCCCTGTATCAGTCACAGATATATCAAAAACAAATGCTTTAATATTATTTGTCAATCCCTAGTTACCAACAACTTCATAAACGTCAAATCATATTAAACATTTCGAAAAGACCATATCTCCATAAGATGTAATTTTTCAGGGAAAGCAAAATACTGATTTTTAGAGAACAAAATTTAATTTTAAATGAAAACTGAAAGAGTGATGAATTGATTACCTCACTTATAAAAAAACAAATATACTATATCAACGTTTATTTATATTAAATTTATTATTTTATGAATAGATTAACGTATAGGAAACATTGGTTTCTCCGATAGACTACAAATTTACACTCATCTATTTTTTATGAGCGTATAATTTTTATACATTGTACCACATAAAATAAAATAATAAAATAAAAAATATATATATATATATATCTTAATAATTTTATTTAAAAACTATGAAATAAAATAAATATTAATTACAAAATGCATTTTAGTTTAATCAAATAATAATGATCAACTTTTTGAGACATTAAATATATAGTATACTTTTGACTACAAAGTTTGTAATAAAACAAAACTTTTTCTATTTATTAGAAGTATTAGAAGGAACTTAATCTTTGATTTTTGTAAGCCATTGAAAAATGTCGTTGTAAAACTATTTCTTTTTCTTTGGAAATGTATGTTTTGAATTGAGTTTTTTTATAATGAATTACAACTTTTTTATAGTATACAGCATTTTTTGGAGCAATAAAGTGATACCTGATGGTTTTTCAAGTATATATTTTTCTTTTATGAGACCATCTGTCCATTTATATGCAACAACCATACCTGATTTATTCCCTGTACATTTAAATTCCATACACTACAATATCTGGAGAAAAATTTTTGATCTTTCGAAATTTTGGCTGTTGATTTTACAGAAAATTAATTTTTTTATAGTGTCTATATCCACTAATCTTGAAAGTCTAAAATATCTTCGTTATTAATTTTAAAATGTCGTTTGGATATTTAATGAGTTTATTGTATTCGTTTAGTGTGTATTTTCTTTATTTTTTACAAATTCGTTTTTTGTAGTAAAAAAATATCTATCACAAGGTAAAAATGAATGACCTCAAATCGGAAAATACTGATATATATTATCAAACCTACCAATTGATACAGTAGCAAAAAAAACTTATTTAAGTGTTATTTTTGTTTTGACTACTGCAAGCATCTAAAAATATATGAAACTTTTATTTGAGATAGAAGTTCATTTAAAAATAATTACGTAAAAAATAGCAAATTTTATTGAGTTTTCTTGCCTCCTATGATTTATATTATGAATTGAAATAAGCTTTGCTTGTTTTAGTATTGTTACACAAAACTTAAGAACCAAATTTGACGGTAATAAAAAACTTCTTGTACTGGGATGTATAGTAATAGAAGGTATTGCATGTAGTCTTTTGTGATGGCTAAAATACTGTCGTCAGTTTGACAGACTTATTTTAAGTGTTACATTTTTTATAAAACATTTTTGCTCGATTTAGCTACTCATTTAGCGTTTTCTCTATGGTGGCTATTTTTATTTTCTGATTTAACTTTCAAATACTGTACAAATATTTACTTGGGAAGGTCAAAATTATAATTTTTCTTTAAAATAATTAAACTAAAATTTCATGTTAATTTTAGTATATTTTTATAAAACATATCGTATATTTGTATACGTCTAATTCTCTAGACAAATATATTTTTTAATGTTGTTAAAAAATTTCTATTTTTTGAAGTGACTCAATTTGTTCTAGAATCAAAGAATGAATTGTACCTGATATTCCATTATGACGTGAATTTATTTATTTTCTTCTCATATCGATTGGTTGAGTATCAACCAATATTAGTAAATGATTTAGATACCTAACATGCTTCTTTCCAACACCATGCAAGCATAAAAAAGTGTTTTTACGAACTTCATTTTTATTATCTTCAATGCTGACACATGATAGTGAAATATCACTTTAGGATTGTCAATATTGTATTTACGTTCCCTCTTTATATCTGCTGTTTTTATTATAGTTGGTAAATAACTATTATGATTGTTTTATCCTTAAATGGTTCATTTTAGCTAAAATATTAATGATAATTTCTTTAAACTTTCATAGGGCATTTACAAAAAATATACTAATTTCATAAGCTATTTCAGTTTTATTTTTCTAAAAATGAATTAAATGGTTAGTTTTATAACAATATTTCAAAATATTGAAAAAAATTATAATTATTTAAAATTAAATTACAAAATTCTATTATAAATCACTGTTAATAATGTAAAAAAATGATAACATAAATACAATAAAACATATTCTTAACACATAAAATTAAATAAAAGTAGTAACATTATAACAACAAAAATTACTTTTGGAAAATGACCTAATACTGTCCCCTTCAAGCTCTGAATCAATGGATGGGCTTCAATAATAGATTTTAGTACATCAAAATGCCAACATCTTCTTAATATTGAACCATTTTATAATGAATTGAATACTAAAAAAAATATTTATAAAGATCGAAAAAAATGAATATATTGATTTTTATTTACTAAATTTTATACATTTCCTTTGAGCTTAATTTTATATGAATGAATAATATATATTTTAAATCTATACAAATAGAAAATTAGGATTTTTAATGACTTTCTAGTTAAATTGATTAAAAAAATGTTGAAAGTAAATGTGAAAAACAAACACAAATGTTAATTACGTTTATCTATACCGAAGTTCTTACATCATGCCAATAAGAATAGTTATTTTATGTAAAATTAATTAATTATTTCATTTTTGTACTTACTTTGGGAAAAATAGAATTCAAAACATCAATTTACATCATTATCATATAAAAGTCAATATTTTTGATAGATATTCAAGTGCTTAACATTTAATGTAACATATTCAAACCACTCATAACAAAAACGGTTGTATTTGATATGACTATCATTGTCATCAAATCAACATGTGATATAATTAACTAACATACTTTATAATATATTGTTGTAAAAAACAACATTGTGATAACAATATTTAGTGAATATTTATACTAATAACTAAGTGGTTTCTGTTTTAATTCAACTATTCTTAATACTTAATCTAATTTAAGGCAAATAAAATATAACCCAATTTTGTGGACTGTATGTTATTTTCTCCTTATAATTTTACATTAAAGAATAAAACAAAACATTGTTTTACAGAAACATAAGAGAAAACAAAATAATACTTAATCTAAGGTTAGTCTATCCTACTTAACCAATTATACATAGATGATTCACAATAACAAATTATGATACATATATTTTAATACATTATTTAAAAAAAACCTACCTGTAGCAGCCTTGACTTGAACCCGATGTGTTCCGTGGATAGTAAATATGAAAATGCCGTTTATGCATAGGATATTCTATGTCGGTTATTGACAAAACCAAAGTAACAACAAATGATCAACAAAACGCATTCATACAAAAAGAAACATCAGCCCTCGCCGATGGTGGTACAAAATACAACTGGTTTGTAGGTTGACAACAGCGTCACCGAAACCGGTGGTGCGTGCCTGGCCCTCAACAAAAAATCACGACGGAACTGTTTCTATTTATGTCACAGTTTTCTTAAATATAAAATGTTTAAAAATTTCCTGTGCTATAAAGGATTAAAATTGTTTTGTATTTTGTAAATATGTCTATATTTTAGACGAGGGTCATAAAAAATAATAAAATAAAAATCATCATTTATAAATAAGTGGCACCTGTAAAAAACTATTGACATGTTTATTCTATAACATACGAGTATATGCATATTATATTAATTAACCGAAAAAGGGTTAACTATACAAAAAATACCTAGACACCATATTTTGATAACATTTTTAATACTACATTATTATTTTATAAGATTATTTGTGAAATGAAAGTTGTAACGAGCATACGTCAAAACAAATGATTTTATGAGTTTACTTAGAACTTAAACCTAGTCGACTCGTATTAAAATTATAAAAACTGACTGAAATTTATAGTGGTTTATATATAGATCATTTCTAATAAAATTTGTATTAAAAACAAAATATATCATAAAATAGGTTACACCCTTAACCACACATTTCTATGTTCCATAACTTAAGCTAATTTCTACCTACATGATGTTATTCTTCTTATCGTGTTCCAATTTCTTAGGTATTGGATACTCCTCTACTTCTTTATAGAATCTAATAAAAGAAATATTTGTTATATTTTAGTTAAATTAATAAATGTAAATAGTCTATACACAACTCATTAACACAGGAATGAACCTTGTTTAAATCTGATTGGCATTTTGTTTTTTGAAATTCTTTCCATTCATTTTCCATATCTTCTGGTAAAATTGACCAATCATTTTTATCACAATTATTTTGATTATCTTCATCGTTAGCTGCATGATTCAAAATTATTACTTCTGTGGGTTTTATTTCTTTGACTTTTTGTGTTATTATTGAATTTTCTGTTGATTTCACAGTCTTAGGTTTTTTTTCTTCTGAAATCTTATCACCACTAAGATAGAAAAAAAACGAATTCTTTGTACTTATATGTATTTTGTAATTAATCTAGAATCTCGTAACTTATTTTATTTATATTAATATCATTTCGATATTTTACCAGTAAAAATGTTTATTTCCTGTCAAATAAATAATCTTTTGCCTTTTTATCAAATAAATAAAATAAAAATTAATTGAACTAATATTTTTTTGTTCATATTAATTAGGTGGTCAATTGGAAAGGGATTAGTGAAACAAATACACTCACTTTTTTACATTTTTGTACAATTTTCATTATATATTTAGAAAACAAAAAAAAATTATAGGAAGAAATCTAAGTATGCGTATCTCATAATCCAAAATAAAATCTTGATATAATTCAAAAAAAAAACCTCTGGGGTATGGCGTTATAACAATCAAGATGATTTTAATCAAAAGATATTTCACCCCTTCTATGGCAACATAATTTCACCGTCATGTGACGTGGTTAGTAGACTGAAATGCCAACTTTGTTTGATCGAATTATTTAAAGGAAATCTATATTAACAATTTTTAGATTTAATATCACTATCTACAAAATGACACATTTTTGATCGACAAAACAAAAATATACTTTAATAAAACAAATTTTTACGTCGGTTTCAATTCTGAAATTAAATTTTCTTTATTATCCATAGATTTTTTTAGATAAATAGAAATGAGTAAAAAACAAGGAATACTATTAAAAAACATTTTTTTTTCGAATTATTATTTTTTATCGAAATCTATGGGAAATTTCTACTTAAAATATTACGTCTAACCTATTTTTTCGGTCTTTTAGTTTTAAAAATCTTCACAAAATTTTAAAATAAAAATATTTTAATGGCATAGTATACATTTTATTGGTTTAACTTACATGTTTGAAATTGACTTCATTAAATAGGAGATTTGTTATGTATTTATATATAATACTTCTTATATTGATATGTGGCGAGGAATTTATATATAATTACTACAAACAGTAAATTTAAGAGTAAATCCTAAAATTTCGTTAAATACTATTTTTTTTGCATTTATATCATAAATAGTGAAAGGGCTACTGGGCTCACAAGGCCTTAACTGGTAAAAGAACAGAAACAATTTTTCATCAATAAATACTTATACATAAGTGGCTGAGGAACACATTTATGGTTTGACTTCTTTTATTTAATTTAGCAATTTTTACTTGAGATGATGTTGCTGTGAGGCACACACATTCCGACATAAATGAGCAATAGGGTGTCCCTTATTTATAAAATTTAAAAATTACAAAGTGCCACCCCCCAGAATTATTCGAATATATGAAAAAATAAATTGTACAAAATTTGGAGACGATTGGTCAACTCTAAGACGTGCCCCAAGGGGGTTAAAAATAACCCCCCAAGGGTGATTTTTTAGTTTTTTTTGTCTACTTCAAAAACTTTAACTTTTGCAAAAAAGTTTATTTGAACTTTTTTGTAGGTATACAATTTTTCTATAAAAAGTATATATACAAAAATTTTCGAAAAGTTCTTATTTAGCCGTAAAAAAATAAAAACGTATATGTTCTATTCTTACCGTTAAAATTATTAATTTATAAATCGTTCATTGTAAAAACAAAAAAAAAATTCATTTAACCGTTGTTTTAAATTAATTTTCTATACATTTTTAATTTGACATTTTTTCTATTATGTACTTTTCAAAACCTACAATTTTTTTAATTTTAATTAAAAAAAACACATCACAGTAAAATTAATACTGTCTCAGCTTCACATTGAAGCTAAAATAATGTTAACTTACAAATTTATATACAATCAGAAACTATTTACAAAATAAAACGTACTAAAAAAATTTACTACATATTTTAAATAATTTATCATTTTAAAATTCTTGGCATAATGTGCTTTTATTGCAATTAGGAAAACAACGCCGGTATTCTGTAACAATCTGTAATAGGTATTGTTTTTGTGCTTCGTCTTTTGTTAAAATATTATTATACTCTTCTATGAGTTTCACGCCCCTCTCTGCCAAATCATTTATAACTTTTAAATTATTTACTATTATTTTTCCTCTAATATATTGACTGTTGTCTTTCCACGACAAAGGATTGATATTTAAAAAATCAGTTTCAATGTCATATCTTTCAAACAACTTTTTTGACTCAGTTGAAATAAAATCATCTATATTTTTATTTTTAAAATCATAAATTTCATTTACTCCTACTACTATACGTTTGTTTGTACATGGATCTTCTTCCCGATTATTTAATGAATTTACCATTTTAATTTTAGTATCTTCACATAAATCATCATCAAAAAATGCCATTGCTGCTGTTTCGGATACTAAGTACCATAAATGACCGGAAATTTTTTTTAAAACTACTTTAGAAATATCTTTATCTATTGGTTCATAATCAATTATATTTTTAATAAATTGTAAATCTAAATTTGGCGCTAATGCAGCATTTGGTGCACTAAACCATTGTTTAATATATAAACTTGTAATAAAAATACATAATGAACGAATATTATTTAACTCTTTGATTGACAATTCAAATTGGCCCCGAAACAAAAAAATTTTCAAACAATAAATGGCTTTGGCCATCCAACGAGCATGATGGATTGGGCCAGGAATTTTAAAATAAATACCATTTAAAGGTGTTTCACCAAAAAATATTATGACCAATTCTAAAAGTTCCTTATAGTCATCTCGAGGTTGGTATTTTTGTAATTGTTCAAAACTAAATTTCAAAATATCGTCTTTTTTTGTTTTTAATTTTTCTAAAATAACAGTATCTTCTATTCCACTTAAGTAATTTGTTTTATTTATATTTTGCCAACACTTTTGGAATTTATTGAAAATAGGAACATCTGGTCCAGATGACGTATTAAATTTTACTTCAAAAACACTTTTCAATATAATTTCATAAATGTGATGTCTACATGATAAGTATAAAATATCACGTCCTAACATTTGCTCTAGTAATATGCAGGCACCTTTAAGTCTACCTGTATTAGAAGCAGTAGTGTCACAGCATAATGATTTAACTTTGTCAGTTAAACTCCATTTTTCAAGTGCTGCGTAGACAGCTGCTGCTTGACTTTGTCCTGAACCAGAAGAAATTTCAGGCACATCGAGTAATTGTTCTATATTATTATTTGACACAATTATTGGTAATCTTTCAACTAGTTGATGTCCTGATAATGAAGGAAGAAGTTTTCCATCCCAATGAATGGTGCATGGACCTAATGTCGATAAATTAAAATTATTGCTTATTTTTTTCATTCGGTTTTCACGGAAACGTTTTCGAAAATTATTAATTGAGGTCTTATTTATAATTAATTCAGATGTATCGAGACCGAATGATTCAGCGGTTGCCATTAATATATGAACAGCGTCTCTGTCGCTTATTTTACATCTATCAAATGCAGCAGCAAGTTTGTCGGTTAAAATATTTTTTTTACCTCTAATTTGAGGAAGATTAGGTTTTTCAATTAATTCTTCGGTCTCATCACACTCACTAGAACTGTTTGAAGATGAATATAACATTTCTGAGTTAACGACATGATCTATAATAATAAACACGTTGAATTACTACTTTGGAAATATTTTAAGATATTTTTTTAATTACCTAAAACTTCCATTTCATCGTATGCTTTTCTTTTTCTTTGGATTATATTTAAATTTTTATTTTGTTGATTTATTTCACATTTTTCATTGAATTTATCGACACCTAACATACAGCCTGACCTTCCTTTTTCCCTCTGAGCCAATAAAAATTGTTTATCAACTTCAATTTTAATTAAGTTTAAAGCGTCAGAATGAGCGATATCAAATAAGTCATCAAGCTTATTGACAAAGTCTTCTTCATTTCTTGTGTCTGATAATGACTTTCTAGTCGCATGTTTTTGTAATTTTCTCCATTCATTGTATATTGATTGAATTTTTTTAACGGAGTGACATTTTTTTTTAATAGGTATTCTGGTTTTTTGCCAAAATATTTCGATTTCATTGTACACTAATGAAGCACTATCGTGAACATTTAAATTAACCACGCGCATGTTATAAAAAAGAACACATAATACTTGTTTATTTGATGGCAACTTACTGCCGACGATTTGATTTGACATATAACCAATTAAATAAATTTTATTTGTATCACAAAGGTTCATTTGAGATGTGGAAGCCATTTTTTTTTAAAAATATTTAAATCTAAACTTTTTTTAAGTTGTATAATTAGAAACGTAAGTATAAAATATAAGAAAATTGTTGAATATGAAATTCATGAACAACGAACGACAGTTGATTCGATTATGATCTAAACTTTTCAATTACTAGATAACATACAATGTTGGAAAGCGAAAATTTAGCTGGTTATATACATAGGCTCATCTTTTCAAGAATACCAGATAAAAGAAAACAATCAAATGTTTAAAAATAATAATGAATAACTTTATCTTGAAAATGACTTTTTTATTAGCCTATAAACAACATAAATTTTATGGCTCTATAAGTTATGAAGATACTAAGAAAAACCGTATAATTTTAATATAATTAAAATTAAAAAAATTGTAGGTTTTGAAAAGTACATAATAGAAAAAATGTCAAATTAAAAATGTATAGAAAATTAATTTAAAACAACGGTTAAATGAATTTTTTTTTTGTTTTTACAATGAACGATTTATAAATTAATAATTTTAACGGTAAGAATAGAACATATACGTTTTTATTTTTTTACGGCTAAATAAGAACTTTTCGAAAATTTTTGTATATATACTTTTTATAGAAAAATTGTATACCTACAAAAAAGTTCAAATAAACTTTTTTGCAAAAGTTAAAGTTTTTGAAGTAGACAAAAAAAACTAAAAAATCACCCTTGGGGGGTTATTTTTAACCCCCTTGGGGCACGTCTTAGAGTTGACCAATCGTCTCCAAATTTTGTACAATTTATTTTTTCATGTATTCGAATAATTCTAGGGGGTGGCACTTACAAATATTAAAAAAAAAAAAACCTCTCATGTAGCTAAGGGTCACCCTAATGAGCAACCACAATTGGCCGAGAACAAAATCCACACAACGGGATTATTCTGAAGAACATATTTCTTCCATTAACACATGTATCTGAGTAGCCCACAATTGGCTTAGAACAAAAAATCCACATAAAAGGATTTATTCAGAAGAACCTATTTCTTCTAGACACGTGTAGATTCATAACCATAAAAAAAAAAGGTATCAGTCTTTTATCACAAAAGGACAACATGAAAAATGTGATAGCCTTCCAGTGTCGCCCTATTCTGCGTCGCGAACATCATCCCCCCGTCTAAAATAGTTTAGACGATCATTGGCGCCGTTGAATTGAGGTCTGAAACAATAGTGCCAGACGGAGTGGAAGCAGGCTTAAAATTGCAATAAAATTTAACAGAATTTCAACAAGGTAAATGTTGCAATAAAAAAAGTAACATAATTCATTTTAAACATTAAAAAATATAAAAATATATAAAAATAAAAATCACAATGGATTGCCAATTATAGGAACATATACAACATACTTAAGTAAAATGTTTTACAAACAAAATTTTAATAAAAAACATAAAACATGAAAATTAATGAATTATTTATAATCAGTCTTAATAATACTCAACCTTAACATCAGGCAGCAATGGATGGCATGACGAGATGACATTAACATTAGTCGGCTGGCAGAGGAACAACCTTGACCACTGGTCGTGTAACTATTCCCACTTGAGTTCTAAGCTGAACTACCCTAACTACCCCATCTTGCCCAGGATGGGTACTAATTATGCGACCCAGTCGCCATTGTAAAGGAGGGGTATGATCCTCTTTAATGATAACCATATCATTCACCTTTAAATTAGGAGTATCCATCCCCCATTTACTTCTAAGCTGCAGAGTGTTGAGATATTCGTGAGACCACTGTCGCCAAAATGATTGATGGCACTGTCGAAGCAGTGTCCATCGTTTAATCAAACCAACAGAACTTTTACTAACATCAAGCTCAGGGACAGCTAATAAAGGTTCACCTATTAGAAAATGCCCAGGAGTGAGACACTGTAAATCATGGGGGTCACTAGACAGAGGTGATAGAGGCCTAGAATTTAATATTGACTCTATGCGTATAATGATGGTAGTAAACTCTTCATAAGAAAAAACATGATTACCCATACATTTAAACAATAAAGATTTTGCGGACTTCACTGCTGCTTCCCAGATACCACCAAAGTGCGGGGCATTTGGAGGATTAAAATGCCAAACACTAGGAACTGCCTTGGCCAATGCTGCACGATTCTTCTCAGAGCTAACTATCATCTTCAACTGACGTTCAGCACCAACAAAATTTGTTCCATTGTCTGAATAAATGTCTGATGGATAACCTCGACGTCCAACGAAGCGATCAAGTGCTGCAAGAAAAGCTTCAGTCGATAGTTCAGTAACCACTTCAATATGCACTGCTTTTACACTCATGCAAACAAATATAGCAATATAAATTTTGAACAAACGTGACTTACGAAGGCTGGTTTCTTTCATAGAAAATGGTCCAGCATAATCAATGCCGACATGACTAAAAGGTCTACTCTGTTGTACGCGGCATGCAGGGAGATCACCCATCTTAGGTTGAACGTTAGTAGCTGACATTCTAATACACACTACACATTTTGATATAAGTCTACGAATGACCTGTTTAATTGAAATAATCCAAAATCGGCGGGAAATCATAGATATCAATAGTTTACCTCCAGAATGACAAGTAATTTCATGCCAATAACGACACAATAAGAACGCCAAGTGCGATTCTTTTGCCAACAAAATAGGGTGTTTTCTAGAATGACTAATATTAGCATGTCTTATACGACCTCCAACTCGTATAACTCCAGACTCGTCTAAAAAAGGTGCTATTTTAGATAAATAACGGTTTTTGATTGACAATTGATTGTGCAATTCTTGGATTAACTGAGCAAAATAGTATCTTTGAGAAACCTTAACCAATGCCATGAGTGCCTCTTCTAATTCCTTTTGACTCAAGATAAAACGCTGTATTGAAATATTAACTTTTAATAAAAAATTTATTAGATGTATTTTGAATTTGCAATTGTAATTTTTTCAGTATACAGGACTTTACTTAACATAAATATAGTTAAATTTAAATAAATATAAGAATTTTCCAACAAACATAGTTATGTTGTATTAATATTTTGTCATTTTAACATGTTTTTTTTTGTTATTTTGATAATTTTAAAATTAATTATGGTTTGAATATATTCATTGCAATATGTTTTCATCTACCAAAAGATATACAGAAATGATTACTACGATTTCTATTGAATTTACTCATTATGATATGCAAAAAAAATAGTTTACTTATTTATGAAAATATTATTTTTATATATTTTAAGTTACAAAATAAAGAATGACATTAAAGCCCCTATGAACTAATTTTTCGAGATATTCCTTTGGTTAAAAAGTTGAACTTTTTTAAACTGCTGAACGTAGGTTTTTGATTAAGTAACTTTAAAGTAACAAGTTAATGAATCTTGGTTAAATATATAATAAAACTTAAAAAAAATAAAATAATAATAACTAGTTTAGTATTATTGATTTCCATTTTATTATAAAGTAGCATGAATGACATTTCTACTTTTATTTCAATTTGCTATCCTCTTTAAGTTAAAAATTAATTTCTATCAATTAAATTAACTTAAATAAATCACTAATAAACCTTTCTAGAACTAACTTAAAACAAGTAAGATTAAATTGCTATCTAACTCAGTTTTAATTACAATAATAAGTTTTTATGATATTAGTTTATTTAGGGATATTAATTAATGAAATAAAATTGACATGTTACATATATTATTGAAAATCTTACTCCGAGTTAGTAAATAAATATTTTAATAAATGTTGATTGATAAATTTAATATTACTATAATAATGGACTGTAAATATTGATTAATAAAGTTCTTTATTAATTAAAATTACAAAGCACACTCGGGTCTGGATTTTGTTAATCCTACTATGAAATCAATCTAAAGTTTTTTTTTCAAAATTGATGTGTATTTATACCATTTATATTTAAATTTATTGTGCAGTAAAGCTTACTTTTTCCTGTATGTTTTTAAAGGTGGATACATTTGCCGAATATTCTTTTCTTGGTTATAACTAATTGTTTCCATTACCATAGAAAGCGGTTTTATTTGGCTTTTCTTTCTTTTACGAATTGTCAAAGATGGTTTTGCTACAATAAATTTTGGTTTCTTTAGTTTCATCAAAGGTTTGCTTATATTTGAACCTCGCAGTTTTCCTTTACTTTTATGGATTTCTCTTGGTTTTCTTTTGTAAACGTCTGTAGTCCAAAATCGATTGTCTTCTTTACTAAAAAAAAAATTGAAAATTTATGTTATCTTAAATTGAGAATAATTTTTATAAGCCTGACAAGGCTTAAAAATGTCCTCCCACCCCATCCAATTAACAACTTTTTTATTGCAACTTTTTATCGCGTTATGCTACATTGATATATTTGACTTAAGTACCGGACGCCATATGCGCCCACTTGATCGGCCTTTATAGTGGAACAGCGGCTTGGAGGGGGTTATTTGACACGGCCACAGCCACGGGGTTGTCACCCGTTTGACACCCTGCGGTCGTGTCAGCTCCTTCTCAGCCACCGCTCCACTGTAAACCGGACCGTTACACACACGCTTTATCGTTGTGATGTAAAGTCCAATAAATGCCTAGCGTCGAATACCCGCCGCAATAATACGTCCAGTCAGTTATCTTCGTGCCACCAGCCTTTGCTAGTATTCGTCCGTACCACTTTCGTTTTCGACTTCACCGCAATACTTCGACGTATCGTCATCAACATTTTTATGTACTATTGTTATACTTTCGGTATAGATTTTCTTTTTTTTTTTTCAAGATGGCTAAATAAAAAATATGCTGTTACACCTCGGATGTAAAGCACTTCTGGGTCATACTCTCTAATTTTCCAGGTTCGTCTATTTATTGAGGGGAGCGTACGCCAGATTTCAACTCCATAGCGCAGCGTTGGATAGTAGATAGTTGTAGGATCTACACTTATAATCATAAGGTATTTGAACCTTTCAGGATGTGATCTTATGTAATCGGTGACTTCTTCAGGATCTAATTTTTCCTCGTCAGCCAATGTGTCTGCAGCAAGATCAAATTGGTGGCATCAAAAGGATCAAAGAATGAGAAAGCCTGACCGATGAGTCGTGTGATGGTATCGAATTTATTAATAATGGAACGTTCTGGATAGATAGTTGATGCTATTATACTATCTATTGGCTTGTAAGGTGCGCCATTGTCGTTATAATAACCTAGAAAATGTATTAATGATCCATCTAGGACTAATGAACTCTTGTCAGCATTGAAAATCATGCCGAATTGTTCGAGTACAGTCAGAAAATATTTTGAGATCTATCATTGTAGACATTATAAGAACGGAATTGTCGCCTAAATAAATGTCGGATAAAAAGAAAGTACCTGTGGTTTTGTATGTAAAGTAACGCATTACTAAAGCGTTTACTATTGAATCGATGACGTTTGTAAAGCATGAGCCGGATGGAACGCCGCAATGTTTTACAAATCTCTCTCCATTACAAAGACGAATGGGAGTATCTATGAAATATTTAACTAATGCGCGACAACGACGTTTGGATCTTGAACGATCAGGTTTTACCCTGTAAATCACGAACCTGTCGGCTAGTATTCTGAAAGCGTCACGAATAATCCACGCTGGTATGCGCTTATCGAATTTTGACCAGTCTCCTAGTAGTACAGGTTTGTTAGTAAAAACCTGAGCCATAGAGTTAACGAAAGTCATGCCTCCATCTCCAATCTCGACGCCGTAGGCGATGATAGGGTTTGGATGATTTTTAAGTTTTCCAGGAAGGGGTAGAAGTATACGGCATCGGCCATGTAAACTTCTAGTAGATAACCCCAGGTGGCAAGAATTTTATTCTTGTCACGAGTGGTTATGTGAGACTTCTCATAGCATGAGACGTCTGATAAAGGTACAGAGATGCCTGCTTCTATAGCGTACCATATTTGTCGTATTTCTTGTAGTACTTGAGGATCAGCTATTGCTTCACCTTTGTTTCGATAGTCTCTGGCTTTATATGGTATACTGGGAGATTTGTTCTTAAGTAGGTCTGGATGTTGAGCTACAGTTCCGGTTGTGAGAGGGATGTTGGAACCGGGCTCTAAGCCTAAGTCTCTACGCACACTTTCGAACACAGCAAAGTATGCCGCAGAGTGTGGTGTCGTGGTGGTAGTGGATCTCTATATTCTAAGAGATCGGCTTTTAAATCATCGAAATTCATTCTCGATCTATGATACTTGGTCCTAACTGCAGAAACCGCTTCTTTTGAGAAATGTTGGTTTATTGCGAATAGAGCATTTCGATCAATCTGTGAAGATCCATAATTAAAAGGGAAAGCAGCACCTGAATTTGAACTGATTTGATTTTAATTCTAAAATTAAAATAGGATGATATTTTGGTAAAAAGTTTTCGCGAACATCACTTCCTGCATTATAAAAATGGGTTTTTGTTATTCGGAAATACGATATCGTCGATATCGTCGATCTGGAGAATACGCGAACACATTCGCGTATGAACGTCAACAATGCCAGCCGTTTGTATTATTATTGCTATTGCTAAGATAGTGTACTGATAAAGCACTATGACAGAGAATTGTGCCTGGAAATGTGGTTGCAATGATGGTAATCGTGATCTTTATGATCGTGACGACACAATTAATAATACAAACGGTTTTATGGGACCCAGTTGTTAAATGTAACGATCGCTGTGGTATGATAATGTGTATGATTACCCTACCTGCCTAGCGGTTTTGTCGAAACAATTAAACGGTTGTGTTCGCGGCGTTGTGTGACTGAAGGTCGTCCATCCTTGTGTATGTATAAATACGCAATCGCCAGATATCCACTTTTANATAAATACGCAATCGTCAGATATCCACTTTTACCGTGTTTAAAAATACATCGAAGGTGGAAATCTACTATTCGCGAGGTGGATAGTATCTATATCACCGGGTAAGAATTTCACTGTTGTCACCAGTGAAATAAAAGTTAAAAATATCCGTAGTACGGGAAAGGTGAGAAAAATTTCGCTGTCTCTTTAAAAAAAAAAAAATTCAAAATTTATATAATTAATATAAAATGTTAGCAGTATTTTTTTACCTTTTTAAAAGTTATTCCGGTTGCGATCCTGAGCCAGAGAGCCAGTTGACAAAGGTAGTTGTTGAATGATTTAGATGACACAAAGTTTCAGCGGTTAATTAGCGTGAGTCGTTTATTTGAAAATTAAAAAAAAAAAGAAAATCTATACCGAAAGTATAACAATAGTACATAAAAATGTTGATGACGATACGTCGAAGTATTGCGGTGAAGTCGAAAACGAAAGTGGTACGGACGAATACTAGCAAAGGCTGGTGGCACGAAGATAACTGACTGGACGTATTATTGCGGCGGGTATTCGACGCTAGGCATTTATTGGACTTTACATCACAACGATAAAGCGTGTGTGTAACGGTCCGGTTTACAGTGGAGCGGTGGCTGAGAAGGAGCTGACACGACCGCAGGGTGTCAAACGGGTGACAACCCCGTGGCTGTGTCAAAATATTCCATAATAGTTATTAGATTCAAGGTCTACATCAATAACGGGAGTACATTTTAAGAAGTATAATCCGAATTGATCAACTAAAGGAAATTTCTGAGTATACTGAAAAATTTGATTTTGAGAAATTAACTATATCATTATATATCTTAATGCGTAATCCAATATACGGTTGAGCACACGTAAATGATGAATATATGTAAATATATATATAAAAGGAATATATCCCGACACCACGGGTAAAACAATTAATATCGATATATTTCTTTTCGCACGTTATATAGGTGGATATAGGTTTGTATTTACGCGAGATGCGTTGCGTGTAGCTAACCACACGAACAATCAACTATAGTTGCAAACACAACTTTCACCACCAAAAAAACGACACAAAAGATAAAATGTAAATATTCACAAAAACGCAACGAACCAGTTAGGTGTACGTCGGAAACAGCACAGAAGAAAAAAAACACACCAGATGAGGTGTACGTCGAAAACGGAACAGAACGCAATATGCGTAATCCATATTCGGCGGCGGCCTTATCTCAGTGTCAAGGGCGGGGAGACAACCGATGACAACCGATTGTCATATTAATAGCTGGACGGCTGATATCGAGAGAGACACGGGCGAGCGCCAGCCTAGAGCAAAAGGCGGTGCCGTGTCAATCTTATCTATATTTTCATATCAGTGGATTTATACATCGTATTTTAAATGTACTTACACATATACAGTTTCTATTTTACAATTTTAATTTTTCATACATTAAATAATGAATAATATTAATTATTTAAACATAACATTTTTTTACCAAAAATTATTGTTTTACTGTTATAAAAATAACGAATATATTCTTACGACGAATTCAGAACTGTATTAAATCAAATTAAACTATTACATACTTAGAATTATTTGTGGAATGAGATTTTTCTTTCTCCTTGTATACTTTTTTTTTATAGTTTTTAGTATCATTATCAAGGTTTTTTGGATTAGACTTTTTTGTTTTTAAGACTGTCACATTTCCAAACTTGAATGGAAAAAACATATTTTTGCTTTTTATTGAATCTAAAAACCACCTACAAATCCATAAAATGTTACATGACTAACTAATTTATTAACTTTAAATTTATAATGAGCTAAAATACTATGACCCTAAAATTTCAAAGTATTCTATTTTATTGAGTTTTTTTTTAAGAATTATAAATTAATTAAAGCAATTACAGTAGGTAATTTTTACCAACTACCTAAACTATATTATATATACTATATTTTTTCAAGACGAAACGTTTACTAAATATCAAATCTAAAATTTATAATATTAATTTATTTTTAAAAAAGAAGGATGCACTTTTAACAAAATCTGTTATTACTCACCCGTATTTTTTAATTTTCTTCCATAAATTTTTCCTATAGTAAACAAAAAACTTTTATTACAAAGATTAATGGTTATACTAATTTATCCACAAATATCATTTGCTATTATCAAACTATACTTGATGAGAAGATCTGTGCATAAATAATTAAACAGAATGTATAATACCTGATCATATAAATTTTATTCTAACGTCTATTTTAAAGAATATTCCAATTATATTGTTAATGAAACAATTATATTATAAGAATTTTGAATTGTTTATCTTATTTAATTGAAAATTTTAAAAAGTAAAAACTATTTATTAAATTAATATTACTAATTTTGTGATTTAATAACTTTCATTATAACATACGAATTTATTTTATAATAAAAAATAATTGTATATTTTCTTATACTAAAAATACATTAAATGTTACATTGTTTAAAAAATAATTTATTTAATAAAAATTAAAAAGTCAACTTTTTCAAAAAAAAATATTTTGAGTGATACATAGTAAAAGTTTCGTTTTGAAACAATTATCAGACTAAAAATAAAACATGTGTCATGAAACCTTAACATAATTACTTAAATACAATCCAATAAAAATTATGTAAAAAATGATTTTTAAGTTTCCTATTAAATTATAAAACTATATTAAATCTCTTAACTATTCTTTTATAAGATCAATTAAAACATTATTTCATATATTAAATATCTTCTTCATTTGCTAACATACCATTTGGGCTTTTTCGTTAAAGATTTCTCAAGTTCATCCATATTAACTTGTTCCATCCAGTATGGTAATGGAGTCTGTTTAGCTTGCGAGGATCGAATTGGAACTTTAATTACAGGATTTGGATTTGGTTGATAAGATTCTTCAATTTTTGCAGAGTAATAAAATTTTCTAACTCAAATAAATTAAAAACTTAAATAATATAATATATAAATACTTAAAAACTTACTTTGCAGTTTTTGGAGGAATAAATAATAAATCATCCATTGATGAGGTAGATTTCAATCTACTATGCTGTTGCTTTTTTATTATGTTTATTGGTTTTGATTGTATTTTCTCCGCCAGATCGTTAAATGATTTCTCTGTTATCGTATTATCTATAAATTTTTTCCGTTTATTCTTCCAATTTCTATGAAATGACAATGAAAAAATCTACATTTTTAACTATGAAGATGTCAAATAGTTATAACTAACCTATCGTTATTCAGACAAGTTTTCCAAATCGGTCGATTTGACTTTTTAGCAACCAAAATTGCACTCTGCCTATCAACAAACGGTGTTCGATCGATACTGTAAACAAACTCATGTAAAATGAAACTATATAAACTAATTGCTCTTAATTAAAAACATATTTTTAGTCATACCCATCCGACAAACATTTTACATGTGAGCTACTTTCTTGGTTTTCATTAGGATCTGGTCCTAATCCCAATGACATGTGGAAAGGTGCAAATGTTTCCTTTAAAACCTTTGCGGTCGTTTCTGATGTACTCTTATCAAGTTTTTTTGTATTTTCGTCATTATAATTTAATTTATTTAATGAGGTTTTCGATGTCTTAAATGTATTTATTTTCTTCGATTTCATTATTTGTGGAGTGTTAAAATAATTTTCCAATTTTGTTTTTGTTCTATTTCCATGTTTTTCTACTGATGAAAGGAATTTCGCTAAATCCTTTAGACATCCTGTGGAATCTGCAGCCTTTGGTGAATTTAATGTAATTAGCTTAGATTGTTCTGATAATGGTTTAAATGTAGCCGTTATTAATTTAGTAGTTGTGCTATCTAATTTATCCATATTAAATATTTTCTTAAGCATTCCATTATTATTTCTCTCTTTATAAACGGCTTTATTATGTTTTTTTGCTGTTCTACCAGATATTTTTAATAGTGATTTTTTATTTTTTTTATTTAATCTAGTGTTTTTAGTAAATGCATGTATGGAGTTCTGCTGTTGTGGTTTAAATTCACATAGATCAATCGTAGAAAGTAACCGATTTAAGTCTTTAAGACTGTTATTTGTGTTTATTTTTTCTGGAACGTTTATTTTATCATTTTTAAGTTGTTCAGACAAAAGTCCAAACGTGTCTTTTATTAGTTCATTTGTTGGACTTTTGGATGATTGAATTGTTATCTCACTGTTACTGGGTTTTAAAGGAGAAAGTAAAAAAGTATTTTCCTTGAAAATGTTATTTGGAATATTCGGCTTTTCAGAATTTTTTTTATTACAGTTAAGCTGTTCTGATAAAAGGCCAAACGTATCTTTAATTAATTGTGAGTTAATATTTTCCGTTTTTTGAGTCTGTTGAAGTAATTGTGGTTTTTTTTCAAGTTTTTCTTCATGAATATTTACTTTCATGAGCTCGCGGCTATCACTTTTCTGATCAACAGATTTTATAGGATCTTTAACTTCGGGCTGTTGGATGATACTTTTTTTTTCACTTATTTTAATTGGTTCAACTGTTGTTATAGAGTCATAAGTACTGCGTCGCTGCAGTAACATTTTACTTCCTCTTGGTTTTAAAGATGATAATTCTGGAGTCTAAAAAATTATACAAGTTATAAGCAGTTTAATCTAAGATTATATTATTTAATGAATGTTATTTTATTTTATTTTAAAATTATATATTATTTGTTGAAATCGTATTTTATTTCTATTAAATAATGCATTAAAATATATATATTATAAATATGATTATGATCATATGCAAAATATTCGTCATTATACTCTAATAGAATAATTAAATAATCAATCAAATAATTTTTTCGAATAATAGTTAAAATGTTATAATAATATTCTATATATTAGATTTATATTCAATGAATATATTATTGATGGAAAACGCATATTTTTACAAGAAATTTGAATTTAATATGTCGCAAATACAGTATTATTTATAAATGACAAGTAAAAATAATAAAAAAAGTATATTTTGTGTGTTTACTTACACAACCGGAAAATAACAAAATCTTAGAAGACAATCTGGACGTACGCATAATTTTAAACAACTAATTTTACTGATCTTTAAAAAATAATAAACGTTTCATTTGTTAAAATGTATTTTGGGTTAAATTTAAGATACATTTTGACAAATGAACAAATATTTTCATAAAAAACAATGTACTTTTGTTAATTGGCCAGCATTATTTTAACGAATAGTTAAAGAAGTATATAATATAATTGAATATATGTTCAATCATATATCTTATATAACTAAATGAATAGATGACGTTAGAAGATAACATTAGCAAGTATTATCAATTTCCTTAATTTACTATTAATCTTGGTTGAACTATAAAAAAAAAAATGTTTACTACTTTTTAGTGACTATAATGAAGCTATACATTGCTATTATTAAGAAAACTTTGATTTTACACGTTTTATTTTAACATGAAATATTTTTTTACAAGTATCGAATATTACTATTATTTTTTTAACTGTGTTATTCAATAGATTTTTCTGAATACCTATATTAGTTATAATTACTATATCAAAAAAATTTTTTTTGATAGTTGAAATATCATTGAAATACGTCTTTAACATAAAATACGATGATAATAATAAAATTAGTATGATAATATTTACCAAGTTATACAATAACATGTTATGATTAATTATTGTATGATGAGGATTACAATAGCTTATACTGTTAAACTTTTATCAAATAATGAAATGCGAGATTTAAGGTCAATCTCACTTGTATTTCATTTCTGTATTGTAAATTGAAATCTCGTTAAAATAATTAAAGTGAAATAATCGTTTTATAAAATGTGAGTGCATTATATTTGAACTATAACTATTTAGTTATATTTTATATAAAAATGATCCAATGCTCTATAAATGGTGACAATCATTGTTTTCTAACCGGTTAATGTATTCACGAGAAAAAGATGACGCTGCGTTAGAATCAGAAATTAAAGGTGTCGCATCCCAATATTACTAGGTAACTGTTGTTATCATAAGTCTGGTACATATTTTTTTAGGCAAGTAGCGAGTTTTGCGGTTGAAGAGATAATGCGACTGCATTATATTCTTCCCCGGCTTGTTTCGCCTCTTTTAAGTAACCTAGTGGGACCCAACTCGTCCTCACTTTAAACCATCCACGCAATCCGACCGTTAAATGAGCTGCATTAAAGGACCGCCCCATAACTCTCAGTTAAAAGACATAAAATATATACTTATAAGCTCAATACATTATTAATTGTAATCATTTTTGTAAAAATGGGTGGTTAAATAATTAATAGTAATGTATTACAAGATTAAAATTAAAACATTCATTGAAGCATAGCTTATTTTACATAATAAACAGTATTGATTATTTTTATCATAAAATTATAAAAACAAGCCAAAAAACATTTTCAAAACTTAAGCTTTTCTCTTGACGTGCAATTATATATGGTTAACATTTTGGCGGTCTCTTTAGTTGTCGTTATGGTAACTACCAATACAAACAGATTTATCCTATAAGTACTTACGCAGTCAAAATTATATTATTATTATTATTATTAAATTGGTTTTATTCACGATGATCAAAATGTTACTAACAAAAGCTCATAAGATTATGACTGTATTCAATTAATAAGAATACAAAATATGTAAATCGCGTTATAAAAATAAATAATATTGGTGCTTTTTGTTGTGATTTTTTGAATATTGACATGTTTAGAAAAAAAAAATTTGAAAGGAATTTAACATTGAAACCTAAGCACCTTAACAGGACGCTTTAATATGAAATATAGCACTAGTTAACTACAGTAAAGGCATAATATCCCACACTTTTAACACATCGTTTTTATAGTAATTTAAATGAGAGATACAAATGAGCCGTTCGCTGCAATAATGACCTAAGTGACAAATCATAGTTTTCAGAAAACAAGGTTTAAAGATTTACAAGTGTATTGTTTTAAGGAGAAGGACGAGAATTAGAAAACTAAGTTTTTCAAATGTAAGAAGCAGTATCATACAATGAAAATTCATGATCAAAGAACTAAAATTTTAATGTTTTAATTGTTAAATAACCGTTTAAATATTAAATCACTTAGGTCGTTTTTCAGGCGAACGACTAAAAGTTATTGATTTTTTCAAATAATCAGTCATAAAATTATATTAATTATAATTATTATTCACTTTTTATGAGGTATAAGGAACCAATGCTCTTTACCTAAGGCCCAAACTTCATCAGGTATTTTTTTAGGATTCGGCTGTTTGCCACGATTTTCTGTAGTTTGGGAAACGCCTTGTTTGCAAAACCTTAATACGGTCTTCATTCTGCCATCGCTGATTTGATATAAACTAATAAGGAACTCTTTACACACACTTATATCTTTTCCATGTAATTTTAAACTGTACTTCCACGAACACTCGGTTTTTTGTTACGGAAGCCAGTTTATGACGTTTAACTCCTTCACGATGTTCACAACTCATTAAATAAGTATCCTGTTTTTCTTTATCTTGTGAAACATAAAAATTTCTAAAAAACTCTTTTTGGGAATCTCTATTAAAATTTGAAAAACATTGGGCCCGACAACAATGTTCTATCTTTCTAAACTGTTTGCGAGATACATCATTTCCAGCTATATTTTTATACGCTTTGCCGCTGTTACGTTTATCTTTTCTTTTGTTACGGGCCCATTTTCCACTTTTTAACTTTCTTTTTAACCCCGGATTGTCACTAGCCATGGAAGTTGAAGTTGTTGATGTTGATACATCCATAGCTGTTATTCTTCAAGTGGATAATATTAAACAATAGTTATTTATAAAAGCCTTGTATACTAACGCACTATGCTAATCAGCTGTTACGCGGGAATGCAACTGTGAATTGGCGCAGCGCTTTCATTTACGCGCCTATATTCATTTGTTCACCACGGCCTCAATAATTGATATTTTTTTATGAAATTTGGTAGGGGTACTTATGAATAGTTTATCTACCCGTTTCCAGTGTCGCCCGAAAAACGACCTAAGTGACCTTAGGTCATTATTGCAGCGAACGGCTCAATTATTATATTGTTATTGCTGCTTTACTAATTTAAAGGAAATTTTTTTGTTACATTATTCTATTTTAGTTAGCTGTACACAAAATTCTATGTTTGGTTTTTTGGACTTTATATTGAAATTAAATAAATATACATAATAGATAACTTTTAATACAATATTATTGCATTATTTGTAAAAAAGCATGCACAGAGTGACAACATTTTTTTTGCTAGGTTGTTTTTGAGCCTTAATAAGATTTGACTTTATGTTTGATTTCTCAAAGCTGCAAAAAATGTATGGATCGACACAAATTTTTGTTTCTAAATACTTTATACATACCCGTTTCATCCGGTATACTTTTTTTTTAATCTGACAATTTCCCTTTATTTAGGGGGCGTTTAAAACTTGAATGATACACATAAAAAGTAGAACTTTTTCAATTTAACTTTTGAAAATGTTGTAGAAATACTGAGTTTTTTATATATATATGTTTAAATAAAAGCTTTAATTATGACCTTATACATATTATAATTTTATTAGATCAATAAAAAAGTATTACACTGTCGCAAAAAATTGCATAAAATTAAACATAATAAAAAATTACTTATAACACTTATAAAATAGAATATTCGTAACAAACAGACACCATAATTTTTGATGATATAACGAAACAAATACAACATTTAAGCTATTATTTTTGACTAGACGTAAAATCAAGTAGAAATAGTATATTTATAAAAATAATTAAATTAGATTAAAAATGCATCAACACAATTAATATTATGTTTGATTACCAAGTAATCTTTTAAATAGTTTATCAAGGTTATAACTTATGAACCTAAATCAAAGTAGTATATAAATATTGAGTAGCGACGAGTGTCAGTATAAGTTAATAGTTGCTCAAGAATCGTACGAAAACATGATATCAATTAAATTAACTTGTTTGCTTCTTTGCCTGACTGCTTTATCGTTAACTGCCCCTGTGCGGGTAAGATATAATAATAATACGTATATACAAAATTATTTATTATACAATTTTCATATTAACGAATATTACTATTTAAAAATATACAGGAAGAAGAGACATTATCTCAAATTTTTTCAGACATTATAGATGAATTCAGGAATAATGCTCTATACAGAGAAATTAAATCAAAAATTAAATATTATGAGGAATTAAATAAATATTTTAACGAGCACTTAAAAGAAAAAGTTTGTATAAATATTTGTGATGTAATAAAAGGGGAAAACATCTATGCACTTTAATCAAGTGATATATATATAATTTTAAATAGTTAAAAAGTGTATATAATTAAGTTAATAAATAGTTTTGTATTTCATTACTTATTTAATTATGTTTAGGTTCTTTTTTAAGAGACAGTATTGATATTCTCTATAAAAAAGTGAAAATTATAAGTATAATAATTACTAATTTTGGAAAAGTAATTACTATCAATCCTCTTTTTCAAAATTCGTTTTCATTAACTTCTTCAAATAATTTTTTTTTTTAATTAATAAACTAATAACTAATAAAACAAAAAGTATAATATAATATAGTAATAAATATACCGTGTATTACAAATGGTTATCTCAGATGAATTAATACAAATATATAGTACATTAAACATCTTAATTAAATGGCATATTTTGTAAACATTATCACAATTAATAGCTTGTTTTCAATATTAAAATAATTTCATAATTAGTGATTAAATAAATAGAGTTTTTTTCAGTTTTAAAGTGTTATTTAAATTATATAATTAGAATTATTATGCTATGAAAATACGTTTTAAACATATAACTAAATATAAATATAAATTAAGACTGAGCGCTAACGTGTTAAGTATTTTTAAAACGCTAAATTAACACAGAAACTTGATGGAATAAATACGAGTTTGATTTTACTTTAACAAATTTAATTTATTTTATTACTATAATATCAAGAGTCTAGAATTAAAGAAATGTATCAACCAATTTTTTACTTTCCAGGAATGTAACATTTTCTTTTTCCATTTAAGCTAATGAAAAAATGTTATTTTTTTAAAAGAATATACCTTCTTATATAATTAACGGCAATTATTTCCTTATTAAAAAATATTTTATATTTCAACTAAAATAGGAAATACCAATTTTCCCTTTATACACTCCTTTAATTCTATAAACATCATATTATGAAGATCATATTTATAGCCGTTTCGATATTGTTTTAAAATAAAATGTTAAAAAAATGTAATTCCTTTTTAATAAATAATCTATTACCTTTTATCTGGACAGTAAAAAAATCTATTTATTATCTAACTTTAATAATTTTTTGTTTTATCAAACAAATTAAATTCAAACTTTGCTTAAAACCCAACCTGAAAATTAATATCTTAATAATAATTTTATATTTATAACATCATTATACTTATTTTTAAAATTAACTTAAATTAATTTTTAATTTTTTAAATATATCATTCCAAAATCATTTTTAGCTTCGTTGCGAAGCTGAGAACTTATTAATTTTACTATGATGTGTTTTTTTTTTTGTGTGTCTGTTGCCACTTTTATTTATCTCTCACCAAATTTATTTCTTTTAACGATACTTCAAAATATCATAAATCGTATCTCTTTGAAAACATTGATTTTAAAAATTAAAAAATATTCTCTCTTTCCCTGTAAATGAGGAAAAGCCAAAAAAAATTACAATTTTGAAAATTGGTAAGTTTCGTCATTTTAAAAACTTTTTTTCCTAAAATTGCCCCATAAGTTTTTGAAAAATGATCAAATCAAAATAATTTTTTTTTATAATATTTTTTGTTAAAAATAGCAACTTTTGCACATAGTGAAACTTTTTCAACTTAATTTTTGTAAATGTTCCGGGAGTAATCTGAGCTTTAAACATATTTTGAATTAATGATTATGTTATATACTAAAAATTTAAAAAAACAGCTTTTTCCCGACATCTTATCTCTTATGTGCAAATAGCTGTTGTAGTTAAAAATCATAATATTTTTGTTTTAAAATTTAATTTTTTTCATCTATTTTAAAATACGTTACAAGGGTTAGCCATAGTAATAAGTCCATCAATTTTTAAAAAGTTACATGAAGCTAACCTATATTGAATATAAATTTAAACTTATTTTGATTATTTTGCCTCCTCGAAGTTAAAGGAAATGACTTTGAATTTTGGAGTTAGCTTATATTGTATTTTAGCTTCGATGCGAAGTTGAGAAGGTATTAGTTTTACTATGATATGTTTTTTTTTTTTTGTGTCTGTTACCACTTTTTCTCAGCTCTCACCAAACGGATTTCTTTCAACGATACGTCAAAAGATTACAAATCGTATCTAGTCGAAGACATTACCCTTAAAAATTGAAAAAATTCCCTCGTTCCCCCTAAATAGGGGAAACCTCCAAAAAAATTACAAATTTAAAAATCGCTAATTTTCGAAATTTTTTCAATTTTTTTTACTAAAATGTGCCGTAACTTTTTCAAAAATGAACATATCGATATAATTTTTTTTTATATAGATGCTTGATGTCTTTACTTATCATTTGATATATATTTTTTGTAAATTTGACCCTTTATCTGCCTACAGGGGGGGATTTAAAAAGACAACTTTTTCACAAAAAATTAACTTTTTCAACTTAACTTTTGAAAATGTTCCGGAAGGTCTGACACTTTTATAAATATCTTAAATTAATGCTAATGTAATATACTTTAATTTGAAAAAAAAAATTTGACCTCTGGACTTGTCTTCATGATGAATATGGCTACCGAATGCTATTTTCGTGTTAAAATTCTCGATTTTATTTTTTATATTATATTTAACTTTATAATGCTATAACTTATTGAAAAGTGTATGGATCCACACAATTTTTTTATGAGAAATAATATTTTTTAATAAACCCTTTTTCATTCGACATACTTTATCTTAATCAGGATATTACTACGGAACTAGCAGATCATGTAGCTTTTGGAATAATCCACCAATTTTTTAAAATTAAACACTATCTAAAGATTTGCATCGAAACGTTTATTTTTGATAGTGATTTTAATCACTGTCATTATACTAGATCCAACTATACCACGGCACCACTGTGCCGCGACCCCCCTGTGCTGGGTTTTTTTAGCTATAAATATATGAAATGCACGATAGTTGCATTGATTATAATACAATGTGTCACGTGGTGACCCAAGGTAATTTTTTTTTTCTTTGAATTGAAACCTTGGTAGAGTACTGCCTTTGATTTGCTTTCCCCCGAGATGCCATCGTTTATTTAAATAACTTCATTTACATATATTCTTATTCTAAACATTCATATTTTTATATACATTCCTTTACTTACGTGTAGTGTACATTATTTAACTTATTTTAATTACAATGATAATTCCACGTTTGTGTCTAGCACTCGGAGCTGTCTATTTTTCTGTTTTTCTTAGGTTGTCTATCCAGACCACCACCTTCTAGTCATGTACCATCTACCTCCACATTTCCTCGTATTCTTTCGTGGCGACCCAAGGTAACCTGATTTAACAAATTTTTTCAAGGCATGTGCACCCATAGATGAACCGGGGGTATTCGTCATAAAGGATTACTTCCCTCTGGCCACCCGGCGCCATTTATTCAGCAAATAACAATTCAGATACATTACTATTATTAACACTTAGGCTAAAAGTGTATAATATAAATAGATGAAAAATCTATTATTACAATGTACGAACATTTCAGATAATACTACAACAAATGACTATATAAAGTATGACTACAAACAAAATTTCTTACAATTAAATAACAACAATTTGATAAAGTACAAGAAAAAATGACACTTAATTCTATCGACGTCAAGGTCATTGGTTTCCTCAGCATCGGTCTCATTCCTCCGGTCACTTCCAAAACAGCACGAACTGCTCACAGATCTGTTCGCTCCTTCCTCGAATACGGAGATGGCCGGATCACCGATCTCGACGTCTTGCCAATGATCCACGCAACGGCTGCCTCTGTAAGCTTCGCCCAGGTCGTCCTCCTTAGAACTCATAACCTTATTGGAGAAGGTTTTTACCGCATGCCATTTTTCTTTGCTCTCAAGCATTTTGTCGATCGAAGTCTCGACATCAAAGTTGCCTATTTTGCTTATGAGTTCCTGACTGTGTGCACTCCATCCTAGGCAATACAGTAGAAAGTGTTCCGCGTCGTCTACTGCATTGTCGCTTCACGCTCCCCTTTAACCTGTGGAGAAAATCGTCAAAATGTTGGAGCGTTGTGTTTGGAGAAACATAGCAGCTGTAAATCGATAAGTTGTTAATTCTCGCTGCAACAAAGTCCGCGTCGTATTCGACCTCCGACACTGAGATGTACTCGCCAAAAACCCCTAGTGCTGTTCTGCCTAACACCATCCAATAGTTAGTGGTGGTTGGATGCGATTACAACATTCTTGCATATCTGCTGGTTCAACAGATCCATCGCCAACTTGCACTGGTTCATGTTCCTCTGCAAAATAAACATCGCGCACGTGGTCATTGCTGGGAAGTCAAAGTATCTACATCACCAATCTTAACGCCTTTCATGGTTGAAATCATTTGATCCGCTGCCTTAACCTGTCTCACCGTTGCATCTTGACGCAATTAATCTCCAAAAATTCTTCTATGGTTTTCGTTCTGTTACATTCTTTAATCAGGTAGCCCACCTGACCGCATCCTCTAGAACATTAAACACAATCGAGGCCAATGCAGTCTCTGGTGTCGCGGCCAAAGACTAGCCATCTGAAACATCTTTTCTTATCGATCCAACCCCTGATTCTACAGGAAACGTTTCCGATACAGATTTTTCTATGATCCAATATCTTCCTCGCGATATTGAAGGCTAAAGTAACTATCGCCATCTTCTGGCCCCTGGGTATGTTCCACATGGTTATTTTAATCTCCATTTTATCATCTTCAGCACTATACCTTGTCATTGTTAGCTCCACTAGTCTGATTTGTACTTCCTTTAGAGACATCTTCGCTCTCAGGGAGAGGATTCTTGGGTTGAACAGGGTAAAACTTGATACTTCCCACATTAACACTCTCCTCCTGAAGGTAGTCCCCCAGCCTAATTATAAGATTGGCTTTCGATCAGCCAGTTGCGAGTCCCCGTATCGCTAACTTCCCTTGTAATTCCTTTCGACAATTCGAGTATTGTCTTATCTGATTAAGTGATTGATAAAGTCGCAAGTATATAAATAAATTACAAGTAGATCATAGGTATGATAACGCGCTGATCACATGACAGGTCTGTGGAATGCCTAATATTTATTTTTAGTACAAATCACGTTAGAAAAATTTCCGTATAATAAGCCTAATTGCTTATATATACCTTAACCCCTATAATTAATAAGATTATAACTACTTAGGTCTTAAAAATTATTTTCTGGGACCTACTACACTTTTAGTTAGTTAAAGCTGTAGGTTCTCTATTTTGCAAATATTTATTTAAGGGTACTAAAAATATTAATTGTTGTAATTTATTTAGCACATACCTTAACCACTTTTAATGAGTAAAAAATCCGTAATCGACTGCGCCAATGATGGATATCAGGTGTGTTTTAAAATAAATAAATAAATAACACGGTGGTTAAATACTAATGACAGTATATTGCTATTTACCACAATTAATACATAAAAGCCGCAAAAGTATCAATAATTTTTCTCTGATTAACTTGAAAGTATTATTTTATATGGTGCATCGCCGGACCAGTTCGCGTCACACAAGGTCACTCAACGTCGCGCGACCTGTCGGATGAGGAGAGGTAGTTGTGTTGCAATTGCTATCCAGCGGCTTGGTCTTATGAAGGTATTCCTAAATCCGGAACTTGATAGGCGGTCTACAATTATCAGATTATATTTAAGTGGTTGTTGTTTATCATTAATAATTTCACCAAGTTTAGCAATCAGCTGAGGTTTAACGGTATTCAAAAAATTTCGAATGCTCGCGAAATTTTTGTTTCGAATATTATTCATTCATATCGCGGTCACGGTCCGGCACTAGATAAGCAATATAAGGTGACTACGGGTGAGTAATCGAGTTTCAATTGGCATTTGGTTGCCCTTGATATAGTTTACACAGGGTTCGAATGATAGTTAACGAAAACCGTTTTTTGTATACTCTTAAATCCAAAACACGATTTTTTTTTTCAAATGAAATGTATAACCACAATGTCATTAGCGCGGCGGAGGAAGTGTATATTAATAAGTAATTAAGTAAGAGTTAATACTCGAGGAGGTGGCGTCCCGTCGTCAACAAAACTTTACCTGGTCAGTCGTTTTCTGCCAGGTTGGTCGGGGAGGTAATAAAGGCATTTTCGTATAGGGGTCAGCACATCAAACCCGTGGACTCCACGCATACCCCTTTTGGAAAATTAATTTTTTTTTTAAACCGCGGCACGCGTAATAATTTTTAAAAAGTCCCCAAACGACCTACGCACCTCATAGTTACGCGAATCGCCTTGGATGAGACGACTTCTACTCCGTGGAAGCCAGTGGATGAGGGATATAGGCCGAGGCTACTCATCATTAAATAGCCTAGATCCGGAAAAGCAAGATAAATGGAAGAGGCAAAGGGATTCAGGCATGGGCCTAAGAGGGACGAGGAGGCTTCCGTGTTGGGGGGGGGTATTCATCCAACGCCAACTCGCCCAAACATCCGAGTCGTCCTATTAAATGTATTCCAATTTAGCAGAGTACCGCGGAGGACTGACCTTACAAGTCCACCCAAGAGGTTAAAACTTAGCCCTAGAGTTTTTAGGCTCTCAAGTGAACTAGGTAGCCATACCCCTTGCCATGTAATGGTCGTGGCGACTGTGTGTACTGCAGTCGATTGGTGTCTCACCATGATTTCGGACTTTGGTGTTGGTGGCCGAAACATAAGTCGTACTCTGTTTGTACACGTAGTCGATGTAATCGACGAAGCGGGGGTGAAGCTCCACGCCACGCATCGCCGCAAAGATCGAACCGTGGGCTACTGAATCAAACGCCTTGGATAAATCCAAAGACGTTAGACAAAGTCCCCAGCAAGACGAACGGGAACTCGTCAATAACGAATCGAGGAGGAAGAGATTGTCCGCCACCCCGTCCGCACATCTGAACGATCGCGGCCTATCGTCGATTACGGACAGACCTTCAAGCCTTCTGGCAAGAATTCTTATGGAAATGCCGCAGGGCTATCGATGCGATCGAGATCGGTTGATTGTTACCCGAGCATCCGGCGTCACCCTTTTTGGGGACGAAAAAGGTACGGGTCGGGACAAAGATATCCGGGAGCGTTCCCGTGGCGATTAGCAAGTTGAATAAGCCAGTAATTAAGTGTATGGGTAATGACCTCCATAACTGCGCCTTGAACCCATCTGGGCCCGGATTTATATTTGCCGAAGGGAAGGATTTAATAACATTCCCTGGCGAAACATGGTCAAACATATTGCGCGTACGAGTTTCTTTGATCTCATTGAGTGCAGCAAAGGAGAGGATTGGGCACTTTTGATAATAGGTGTTCAGTATTTGAACATCTATTATCCATATTTTAATACTATGACTCATACACTTTAACACTATATAACTTCCACATTCCTGTATGTTTCATTTATCTGTAAAAATCGGTACCACAATACTATTCCTCCATTTTTTTGGTTTTTCCCTTCTAATAAGATTTTATTAAAAAGATTTTTCATCCGCTTTATGCTAATACCGCCTAATATTTAAAAAAATTAATTTAAATGTTTCATTTATTTTAATTTAAGTTTAAATGACAGTAAAAAGAAATAATAAGATCATATTTTATATAGTTTGAAAGATTAGATCAAAAATCGTTATCATCTGATGAGGAAACGACAGAAATCGTACAAATCTTAGAAGTCATCTACAAGAAAATAAGTGATGACATCAAGAAGGAAGATCCAAAACTGGGTGAAATGGTTGAACGGCTATTCAAATTATTATTTGAGAGGTTTCAATTAACAATTGATATCGAAAAAATGAAGAAAAAAATTGAATGAAAAAAAATTGTTAACAATATCTTATTTTTTTTCAATTAAATAAACATATCAAAAAAATTTCATAGCTAAATTTGTATCCACCCCAATTTTATAATTACTTGATAGATAAATATAATATAGTTTAACACTTGTGCATAAACTGACTTAATTTATATATTATTCATTTACAGTCACATATTAATTCAATATTTTTGATAAGAATTTTATTTTAATATAGAATATGTAGTCTAGGTATTTAAATTTATAGTGTTAAAATATGACTAATATAAATTTGTCTACATAAGCCATGCTATACTGCAATATGCAATGTCATCACCAGTGAGACTGTTATGGTTAATACATAACAGTGACTGGGATGTTGCTACATCAACAATAGACACTCATCCTACTCCGACGAACGTGGGCTCACGAACGATCACTCAAGATACGCGATTAAAACACATACCAGATCGCCCCGTGCATTGGTTACCCAGTCACCCCATTCCGCAGACCTAGTGTTGAAATAGCCTTCTACAATTATCAGTGAACTCTTCTCTGTGCCTCTGATACTTTTTAAACCGTGTTAAAAATCCGTCATACTTCGCTGTCAATTACTTAGGAGATACATAAGAGCTGAACGTGACATGTTTTACATTGTATATCTTATTATTCCTGCCTAATGCGTATTCCTGTCCATACTTGATATCGAGACATCCATCCCAAATACTCCAAAAGTACCGTAGACTGACACCATCCATTCTCTTCCACCATTTACTAAACCATGTAGGTCGGACTCAAATACAATGTCCATCGCAACTCTACAGTGGTTAAAGTTGCCTTCTAAAACCTTAAACCCATCCACTGAAATGCTCCTTTCACCAACCATGGTGACTATTCATCTGCAGGTTTAGCTTCCTCTACAAACCGGGTTTCAAAAACGTTCTTTGCCTCCAAATCCTCGACACAATCTGCGGCAAAGTGCTGAGATACTCCGTGTAAGGATAAGGATTCATATAATTTTAAGACCCTACCTAAACATAGGCGACAAGAGAAAAGCCGGTCGACCAGTTGATTGTAAAATTTTTGTATATAATTTTGTAGGAAGAGAAGTGGTCATGTAGGGAAAGAAGAGAGAACACTAGAAACAAATTAGCTGAAAAAAAAATAATTATTTCAAAGTACCATGCAAGTAAAATTAAAGATTTTGTACCTTGTGATTTACTAACTCACGTTGGTGCGCTAACTACCTTACCTTATTAAATATTGTCTGTAAGAGCTTTGCTCCTCGAGCTCAGATATTAATTTCCCGACTAGGAGGTAGATTTGATTGGATCACCTGGTTCCCCGAACCTATAAGAAGCTCTCATTTGGATTCTCCGGGTGCGTTGAGATGTAAACGAAGAGCGTACTTAGAGTTCTACAGCTGTCATAGCCTATTTTATTTCCATGGCATACTTCTTTAAAGGGTCCTATAGCAGCCTTCGTTCTCGTCACCTTGCTTCTGTGCAGTCAGTTGATGTAAATTTGTATTGAAGAATTTCGATTTAAATATTAGAAAAATAGCATTGTATATATAATAAATGTTTTTATTATATGATCACAGGATACCTCTGAATTATTTGGTCAATTCATTTGAGTTTTCTTGTCCCACGAATTAAAGCTAAATACGCCTCCAATCAGAATTGTGCGTGAGCATTATTTTTTTATATGCTATTTTTTTATATTTACTAAATAGAGTGAGCTAAGTGTTATATAATATTATTGTTGAATTTTGATATTTTGTAGTTATATTATTGTTTTGGGATTATATTTATTTTATTATTGTTGAGCCAATATATTATTGGTATATAATATATTATTATTATTTATTTTTGTATCATTCAAAATATTGTAGAAACTCGAGTTATTTGTTTTTATTTAGTTTTAAGACACATTAATATTTATAAATATTTGTGCACTAAATAGATCACTGGTTTTTCAAAAGCCACTTCTCCCACCTTCAATGACTCTATTAAAGTACTATACACTAACAGTTTGGTCAGCCTTTGGAGTGATATACTAAGTAACTGACCAAGAGAATAAAAAAAATGTGGTACCATTTATTTATCCTCAACGTAAATTTTTATATTATTATAATTTGTTTATAAATTTTGAAAAAAATCATAAATAATTTTTTCATCATCATCCTTTCTTTAGTTATCCTCAATAAATTGTATTAAATTATCACGGCGCACATTACTTAAAGGATGTGTGCTTAAAATACTTAAAAAACGACCTAATTTTGAAGTTGGATCAGGCTCATACTCCTCAAACAATGTCCACAATTTATTGAATTCTGATGCCTTTACCCCAGCTTCTACAGCCATAACAGCACCATACGAGTCAGCTTCTAACTCCAATTTTCGTCTCCTTGGAAGTGTTTGAGTTAGAGAGTATGTTAATTGAAAAAATAAGTCAAAAAAAAATTGTTGTTGATACGTTAAAAACGCATTCCCTAATATCCGTGGAAAGAAATCTATTATATTGAAAATCCAATCATAACTTAGGTTTATCATTGCATGATTAAGTAAACAATGAGCTATTTCATGACCTATGATTAAGATCATAACATCTTCTTCTTTGATTTTCCTTGACAATCCAGTGTATACAAATATTGATCCATTTGGTAAGCAAAAAGCATTCATATCGTTGCTATCTACGACAAATACTTGCCAAGGAAAAACTTCATTGATGAAATTATTAGCTAAAAAAATTTTGTTTATAATTTTGTTGTCAGCATCTTGTATTAATTTTTTTGAAGCGCCAAAATCATCAACCATTATCTTAGTTACCCAATCACTTAAGTCATTAAGTTCTTTAATCGAGTATAGCATTAACGTTGGAAACCCATTGTATGGATTTATAACTTTATTATAATCACAATAATAATTTATACTTTTACAGAATACATATGTACCAGGTACAACGGTAAATATTCCCCATTTTGTTAACCACGTAACGTAATTTGCTTTTTGTTCTCTGGTCAAAGTTAGCCACCATTGCCTAATTTTGCCTCCAAAAAATAAAGCCGATATTTCAAACATTATCTCTTCAAGTTTTCTTCGTATTATTAATTTTGGTATGCAGAAATCATTACTTTTATAAAAAATTTTATATATTATAAATATTCCAACAGATATTTCAACTAATATTGAACCATAATAGAAAAAAAAATTAGTTCTTCCATTTTGCTGATGATTATCCTCACTATAATATATTGTTTTCAACCAATTTTTGATGGTAATTTTGAATCCTTCTGTCAATAAATCAAATGCTACATCGCATGCCTTCCTTGGTGACCAAAACCTATAATTGTTTTAGAATTATACAAAAATCAAACTTATCGTATATATCTTATATATTTTTTAAATTACCATTTTAAATCTATTATCATACGTTATAATTTTCTGCTTGCATATAATTAAAAACGATTTTCCCGTATTAACTACATTGATGTTCAATATAATATATTAGCATATAATGCTATTAGTTGAAAACTATTTGTGTCTATTTATATATATATATATATGTGTATATGAGTATCTTTATATTATAATTATTATGAACACATATTTTTTACAATACATTTTAAGCCGTATATTATATTTATTAAAAACGTATTTACGTTTGATTAAAAATTAATTCATAACCAAAGTAAATAGCTAAAGTCTTTTTTATTGCTACTATTGATTAGTATTCAATAATTTAATATTGTAAATTTTAAGAATAAATTATAATGTATTTATATATTTGTTACTCCTACAGCAAGTGCCTATAAAAATTGAAGAGCTTGTTGCCAAACGTTTCAGAAATTTCTAATAATAATTGTACATATAGTATAATTATATTCATTATTAATATTGTGACACATTAATAAATTAAAATTAAAAATTAAAAAATTGTTTTGCTCAAATAATAAATTATATGCACCCGACAATATTTCATATTTAAATAATTTAACACTTCTAGCCATATCTAGCGCCACTAGATTTTTTACCAAGTAAACGAAAAAGGGTTCTTTAATTCCATCGTCGGTCGGGTCGTCAATGAAAATATTTTGATGCATGAAAATTTATAAATATTTTAAATGTAATTACCCGTATTGACGTTCGAGCCGGCATTTGACAGCAGGGTTGGGTGTCCACTCTAGTGGTGTCTAGTTAAACACCAAGAATTATATAGAAATTATAACTAACACTTCTACTTAAATAAACTCGTCAACTCCTCTACATTAACCGCAGCCGCCATGATCATGTTGTCATCCGCAAATTCTACTAGTTGGGCACCAGTCGGCACATCCATCCTAATCACTTTGTCATATGCTAAGTTCCAAAGTAGAGGACCCAATACAGAACCTTGCGGTACTCTACACGTGACTACGTGCTCCAGCGTCTTTGATAGAATCGGACTGTAGTATACTACCGATCGACCCGTAAAATAAGACCACAGAAGCCTCGTTATATATTGCGGGACCTCCCAGCTGTCAAGCGCCTCTAACACGTGATTAAAACCAATTGAGTTGAATGCGTTCTTAATGTCAATGCTTACTGCCAGGCATGACTTAAAGGCATTAACAGACTTTTGAGCAAACTCCCTAACAGTAATAAGCGCAATATCAATCGACCGACCACGTCTGAAACCAAACTGTCCGTTTGCAAATCCACCCTTCCTCAGAAGATGAGCCTCGAATCTTTGGACTAGCAAGTATTCCAGCAGTTTACCAATGTCATCCAAGAGGCACAAAGGACAATAAGAATATGGCATACCTCTAGGCTTATTAGTCTTTGGTAGCAAGACAAGCCTAGCCCTTTTCCATCGAACAGGAAACACCCCATATTTAAGACACGCTTTAAAAACCTCCAATAGACGAAAAGGTTCAATGGCATGCACAAAGACCAGAATCCCACTTGTGACTCCATCCAGACCAGGTGTCTTCCTGCAACCCTTGAAGCGGGCCACCGTGGCATCTAGTTCCGCTTGTGTAAAATACTCCACCGCATAATCTTTGTGGTTAACCCGCGGTGACAGAGCAGGCCGAACCGGGAAGAGTATTTATCAGAAAGACGCCCCAACGGACCCCATACCTCATAGCTATGCGAGTCGCCTTGGATGAGGCGGCTTCTACCCCGTGGAAAGCCATAGGAAAAGGGAGGTAGGCCGAGGCTACTCATCATTAAATAGCCTAGACCCGGACAAGCAGGAATTAGGAAGAGGCAAAAGGCACCCTTGGCCTGGTGCAGCTCCTTTTTACAGTCGAAGCACCCCTTGGATTTGTCCGGGCCCTTGCAGGCCTGGGCCACGTGCCCGTGATCCAGGCACCTGTAGCACCTCGGTCCCTTGTCTCCAAGGATCCTCAGTCTACAGGTAACCCATCCCACGCGGATACGGGCGAGACCTGCGAGGCGAGGGGCCAGCTTTGCCGGCACATCCACCCGGGCGTAGCGACCTTTGCCGCCGGAGTTCTCTCGGACCACGACGGGTCCGATTTCCAGCGGCGACTTGTCCTCCGGACGGCGGAGGGCGTCCAGTAGTGCGCTCTGCACTTCGCCCCCCTCCGTCCATTCCTCCACATCGAGGAGCATGACGGGCACCGTCGTCACCGGACGGTGGACGCGCACGTCATGCTCCTTCAGGGCGCCCTTCAGGCTGTCAGCTAGGCTGTCAGCCTGGGCGCCCGAACCCCGTACCTCCAAGAGTACGGCCCCCGTACGGGTCCGCCTGGTGCCCGCCAGTTGGACCCCGAGGGCCTTGAGGTCAACGGCAGCCATCGCAGTCTTTATGACCGCGGCGTACCGTTGACCCTCTTTCAGCGGTCCGATCACCACCGCCTCCGTCTTCGGGACTTTGGCCCGGAGCTAGGCGGCAGTAGGGCCTCGCGACGGTGGCGGTGGACTCGGCCTGGGCCGGCTAGGGACCTCCGCTTTGGGAGCTGCCGTCGACCGCTCCGCCTTTCTGGCCCCTTTTCGCTTCACCACCTCCGACCATGTGGTGGTCGGTGCGGGGGCTGGAGCGACAACACGAGGAGTTGGGGGTGGGGGAGGACCGTGACGCTGGGTAGCGAGGACGCCACGGTGTCCGCCAGCGAGCGTCCGGCGTCCACTTCCTCCCTCTTCTTCCTACTCCTCTTCTTCCTCGGCTTCTTTGCGGGGGGAGCGGGCGGGCAGACAACCGCAAACCCCTCGACCTCATTGAGTGCGGAGGCCGTGTTCCCGACGGCACTGAGTGGTGGCCCATATGTGTCCCACCAACATGCCGTCTGGGACGACGCATCTTGCTTGTTGCCCAGGTCATCAGTGACACCCGCCGCACATTGTTCATCCACGCCCGACCCTTCGCTGCCCGCAACCTTCTGAGGTTCCGTCTGCGTCGAAAAATCGACGTTCGGGAGGTCCTCATCCGGAGTGCGGGTTAGTTCCAGGTCGTGCATGGCACGAACGCTTCTGATGAGTGCCCCTGCAGCCGCAGCCAGATTGGCATGCGGGGGAACAACTGTCATCACCATCTCCAACAAGTCGGCCTGGTGGACCACCAGGGCCAGTCCGGCCATAAGAACGGCCTTGGATCTGGCTTGGTCCAGCTTCTTCCTGGGTGGCCCGTCCTCATGAAAGAGGTCGGAAGGCGTGATGTCCGCGCACTTCCGCCTCTTCATCTCCGGAGCCCAACCGGGCGTATCCGTCACCGGGATAGGGGCATTCGGAGGAGTGTCCTCCAGGACAATCATAGGTGGTGCGTCTACGGAGGGGGACATCCTCGTCCTCCCCGAGACTGGCCACCACGTCGTCCGCTGACCCCGCCGCTTTCCCAGCCTGTACCGCCTTAGGTGATCCACACCTCGACGAACACCGCAGCCTCTCCACAATGGATGGCTTGGCTGGGGCATCCAGCTGAGTATCCGCCTTAGCGAAAGTGCATCCGTTATCGTGTATCTCCAAGTCTTCCGACGCCAATGACCTCCCGGCTGTTTCACTGGTGGGAGTGGCTTGGTCGCCACCACTCCCTGCAGTCGCAGTACCAACCCCCTGGTTGGCTGCAGGAGCCTGCCTCAACACTCCTGCATTTGGTGCGTATTTGATTGATGACGACACCTGGTGGGTACGCCCCCCACCAACCGCCGGCACTGGGGCATCCGAATCCCCTGATGCAGTAGCCTTTTCCTCCATGTTCGCCATTATTCATGAATAAAATAATTTTGAGGGGGCTGCCCTCGTAGCCAGTCCCTCCGGCTAGTGAGTGGCTAACTACACTGGTTGCGATGCCATATATCTCCTATCTCACCCAAACGCTACCGCTTATTCGTCCATAAAGGCTTATTTCACGGCTACCCTGTATATCTACAAGGTTGACGAGCGTTTGGGCGGCTCATTGTCCGCGACCGCTTATTCGTCAGTCCAAGTTAATGGACTGCTTATTTCGCGGCTAACCTGCATATCTGCAGGCCGTTCCTCTATCCGCAACCTGAGGACGCGCCCGATTCCCCGAGCTAGGGGCACTGCACTTGTGCCGACGTTTCGTAGCCCCGTAGAGCCCGATCACATCGACACTGTAGCGCAGCGCAACGGGAAGGAATGTAGACTGGGCCTAAGGGGCCCATTCCAGGGAGACGAGGAGGCTCCCGTTTCGGGGGGGGACGGCGATATTCACCCGACGCCCACCCGCCCGAAAACCCTATTCGACCTGTTGAACGTGTGCTAATTCAGCAGGGTACCGCGGAGGACTGACCTTACAAGTCCACCCAAGAGGTTACGGCTTAGCCCAAGAGCCTTAAGGCTCTCTAACGAGCTAGGTAGCCATACCCCTCGCCAAGTTATGCGTAACTACTTTACGTGTACTTATGTCGTCTAACTCAGACACATTTGAATGACCTATAAGCTGACGTATTACGGTCTTATATGGTCTACCCCAAAGGTCCTTATCTACGGTGCAGATCCATTCTTCCCAGCATTTGCGTTTGCTTGACATTATGGCCAATTTCAGGCCCCGAAGAGCCTCCTTGAGTTCTTCCAAAAGTATAGCAGCGTTCCTGTTCAGTTCNTGAGTTTTTCCAAAAGTATAGCAGCGTTCCTGTTCAGTTGCTAGCTAC